CTAACTGCGGTGCAGAACAGTGTGGTCACCGATTGGTTGTGCCGTCTGGAGCACGGAACAGAAGGACAGATCTACTGGCAAGTGAGGCGGTTTACATTCGACACAATGTATTGATTGGTGTACGCATCGCTTCCTCTTAATGACACAAGACATATATATGTATTCCGTGGACCGGTGCTGTTCTGATCCGTATATCAGGTTGATTCAGTGTCAGGAGCCGTAAATTGCATCTTTTTGTACGGCACAGCCTGGGGAGCTGTGTGAAAAAGCATGCGTACAGAAATCAAAACACAGAGCGGGGTCTTTATCAAGACTGGAGCAGACAGAGTCTGGGGCAGTTGCCCATAGTAACCAATCAGCTTATACACACACACTAGGATGCACCGATACTGAGTATTTGGCCCAAATGCTCCAATACTTACCTCTGATACGGAAACTTCCGGTCAGAGGGAGATCTCGGCATTGCCGAGGGAGCATGGAGCCAGCTTCTTTTCCAATCAGGAAGTCCGGTGGTGGGTTATGACACAGGGCCCGGCTTCCTGATTGGCTAGAAAGCCAGCTTCACTTGCTGCTAGGCAGCCTGGCTTCCTGACCAATCAGGAAGCCGGGCCGCACGTAATGACCCGCCTCCCGGCTTTCTGATTGGTCGAGTCATGAGGCGTCGTCTGGCTTCCTGATTGGACTGGAAGCCAGGCTGCCTAGCAACAAGTGAAGCCGGCTTTCTAGCCGATCAGGAAGCCGGGTCATGACGTGCCGCTCGGCTTCCTGATTGGCTAGGAAGCCAGCTTCACTTGTTGCTAGGCAGCCTGGCTTCCTGACCAGTCAGGAAGCCAGACGGCACCTCATGACTTGCCGCCTGGTTCCCTGATTGGCAGCCTTGGAAAGAGAAGCCGGTGTACTTTTGCTAGAACACCGGCTTCATAGGCAATCAGGAAGCCGGGCGACACACCATGATCCGCTACCCGACTTACTGATAATTGGGGCACATGATCGGTATTGGCGAGTACCGAAAAAAAAATATCAATACTCGTACTCGATACCGAAAAAACGGTATTGGTGCATCCCTAATATAAACACACACACATACATATGCACATACATACTGTACATCAGAGCCGTAGCTAGCCCCCTTTGCGCCTGAGGCAAGAACAGAAAACTGTGCCCCCCTAACAGACGTGTGATGTCATGCGCCAGGCGGGGGAGAGCAGCCGGGATCCGAGGAGAAACCTCCCCTGCGAGCTCCGGCTGCGTTGGCCGCCTGGTGCCCCTGTTGCCATAGCGCCCTGTGCTTGCAGGCCAGCCCTGGCTGCGCCCCCACTCAACTGCGCCTGAGGCAAGTGCCTCACTCGCCCCATGGTAGCTACAGCCCTGCTGTACATCCACACACATATACCTTTTGCCCACGGGTCTTCGCACGGGTCTGGTGACGTTAAGGGTCCTTCCTTTTCTTTCTGGTCTCAAATCCTCCACTGGACGGTGAACACGTATTGACATACGAGCAGCATTCACTGCAACTCCAGGGGGAGGGTCCATGACAGTCTGGGCTCCAGGAAGGCCAGTTGAGTGACACTGGAGGTCATCCAACATGGCAGACTGCTGACATCTAGTGGCCTAAAATCCTCACTGCGGGGCTCCAGATCCAAAGCAAGTATTGTGGCAAAAGCTGTTTTTTTTTTATTTTAACACTTGCTGGTCTAATCATTTTATTTTCCTGGCGTTCTGCTTTAAGGAAATCTTTAACACACTCAGTGAACGCACGCTCGCGTTCCCCTTTCTTTGGCTGCATTTAGTGTTCTGACATTTGCACTCATATCTCACTCTTCCATTGGCCTCAGCTGGGAGTTGGCAGTAGCGTTATGAAGACCCTCTTTTGTTTTCCTATCAGTACAGATGTTACCTCGGCGGAGGGGACAGAGGGGGTATTACTGTGCAAGGAGCCTCATCATTAGCATAGCAATGAATGAATACATTGAGGGCTCATCCCTTGCTGTCCCCAGTGACAATACTTCATTCTTCACACTCCCCCTGGTGGACAAGTCAGGAATTGCAGAGCTGACATAATATAAAAAACTGTACAAAATGAATTAAAATCATTGCTTCCACCTTTTTTAAAATCATTTGTTACATCTCAATAGTGCTGATCCCCTGCAGCTCCTTCTGCCATTGGTCAGGGCGTGCTCCATGTACTTTATAGACGTCTCTTCTGCCATTGGTCAGGGCGGGTTCCATGTACTTTATAGACGTCTCTTCTGCCATTGGTCAGGGCGGGTTCCATGTGCTCCATAGACGTCTCTTCTGCCATTGGTCAGGGCGCGTTCCATGTACTTTATAGACGTCTCTTCTGCCATTGGTCAGGGCAGGTTCCATGTGCTCCATAGACGTCTCTTCTGCCATTGGTCAGGGCGGGTTCCATGTACTTTATAGACGTCTCTTCTGCCATTGGTCAGGGCGGGTTCCATGTACTTTATAGACGTCTCTTCTGCCATTGGTCAGGGCAGGTTCCATGTGCTCCATAGACGTCTCTTCTGCCATTGGTCAGGGCGGGTTCCATGTGCTCCATAGACGTCTCTTCTGCCATTGGTCAGGGCGGGTTCCATGTACTTTATAGACGTCTCTTCTGCCATTGGTCAGGGCGGGTTCCATGTGCTCCATAGACGTCTCTTCTGCCATTGGTCAGGGCGGGTTCCATGTGCTTCATTGACGTCTCTTCTGCCATTGGTCAGGGCGGGTTCCATGTGTTTCACAGACCTCTATGGGGCTGTACAGTACAGGACAGTGACACTTGTGGCATTGAATGTAAACGGCAGACTGTGGAAATGAGGTAAGTATGTATGTATGGAAGGGGGCGGGTGGGTTCGGTTAGGGGAAGCGGATAAACATAAATGCACTTTGTTTTAAAGTGCGCCTTATCTTTTAAATGTATTTATTTTGGGGGAGAGGGTGGTAGGAGGGATTGGGGGGTGTTGATGGGTCTTGTTATGCTTTAAGTGACAGGATAAGCTCCCCGGAGATGTTTTCAATAAACCAAAATTGAGCTCGTCCTGACAGAAAGGAACAGTAAAGAACAGTCACAATACTTGTTTATAAAGTGAATTATATTGGGCAGATTCCGTTTGCACCCAAATCCTAAAAACCCACTTTAAATAGATTATACAATACCTTAAAGTGAAAACAAACATTAAAATGTACAAAAAGCCTGTGTGATGAGGCCGATTGAAGCAGCAATTTCCTAACGGCTTCCGGGTAGTGGAATATACGGGTATCGGCTTCATTGTCTGAGAACTGGGCATGCACCCTGCGGCAGTTAAAGCTTCCAGCAATGCGTCATCACCCGGGAGCGTTCCTTATGCAAGATACCGATCATGATTTGACTTCTCTTGTATCCTCTAGCAATCCTAGGGGGGCCTAGTATAAAGGTTTTCACCCTTTGTCCCCCCCCTCCCCCCCGAATCCACTTAGGAGAAATGTGTAAATCCTGGGTGAAACCTGCGTGTGAATCTTGTGTGAAATAAGCCCCTTAGTATCACAAACTTTGATTTTTATGACAACCTTCATCTCTAAAATAAAATTGGAGTGACCCGGTTACATAGTATTTGAGGTTGAATAAAGACACAGGTCCATCAAGTTTAACCTATTGCGTGTCTGTATGTGCGTGTGTGTGCGTGTATACGAGTCCCCCTGTGATCCTGGTCGGTATGGCGATGTCGCTCTAGGCGACTTCCATGTGACCACCGGCTGCGGGTGCCAGGCCCGTCCTGGGATTTGCCTCTTCCCTGTAGTTGCAAATGTACTGGCTGCACTTTTTTCTTTAGTTTCAATAAACTTTATTTAACACTGCTACATGGCCATTTCTGCATCGTTACCTCCCCGCTGGACCTGGTGCCTCCACTAATGCGTTTCGTCCTCAATGATTAAGCCCCGATCGAAGGCAAAAGGCCTCAGCGGAGGAGTCACTATAGAATGATGCACGCATTGGCCATGTTGCGGCGTTAATAAAGTTTATTGAAACTAAGAACAAAATACAGAGGATGGCGGCCTGGACTTTTGTTTGGCCAAGGTGACTAAGGCCCATGTCACATTGGGGATGCTGTTGCCGGTGAGAAGACGCCCAGTGAAAAGATTGATCCATGATGTGTAGTGAAAACATTCCCCTGCTTCCATGTGACATTCCTTCGCATGCGCTGTTCCTTCACTGATGAATACTCTGCAGAGAGAGAGTAACGTCCTGCTCATCCTGCTGGTGAAGGAATGACAAATGCATGCAAGGGGAGTATTTCATTACCCTGCTGTGTCCTGCATAGAGATCCTGCCACTGGCGTGTTCTCAGTGAGTCACATGACCTAGCGGAAAAAGGTAAGCTCACCCCCCCATAGACTTCTATGGGGTTTTGACCAGGGGCGTAACCACAGATCATGGGGCCCCATAGCAAAATGTTGATGGGGTCCCCCCCGCAACCCCCCCCCCAGCCCCATAGCAGCCGCATGGGCCGTTATGGCTATTGTTACCCCACTGGTTGTGACCCTGGGCTGGAGACGAAGAAAGATGGCTTCATAGAATTCCATGGGGCTGAAAGGCGCACATGTGGCCAGACCTGCAGCACTAATTGCAAACACCCCCTGCCATTGGACTGCACTGGGTATGCATCTATGGAGGGGGGAGGGTGGGTTAAGTTAGGTCAGGGGGCAAAGGGATGAGTGCATTTTGTCTTAAAGTGCACCTATCCTTTAAGTGAACACTTGATTCCAATTACAGGTCCTGCTTTTAAAATACTAGTTTGGCCATTAAGGTGGCTCAGTGGTTAGCAGTCTGGCATGTCCGTGCTGGCATCCTGGGCTCAGTCCCCACCGCAGGCAATCAATAGCATACTCTTTCCACATTCCTAAAACACTCCGAAGGGTAACTGACCCCCCTCACCAATCTACTGCGGTGTGAATATGAAAGATGCGCTCCTCCGGTGGAAGGGATGGAACTGAGTGTGGTCTGATGTCCGACTCCAGGTTCCGTTTCCTTCATCCTGTTGGCGGCGTCCCACTGCGCAGCGGAAAGCTTTCCTGCACAAAGTGCCGGCATATCGGGCAGTGCTGGAATCGCGTTAGGCAGCCGTCGCACAGGCAGACGTGGCGGCACGGCAGGAGCACCCAGTTCACCGTGTCGTTCTGACAAACGACGCAGTCCTTGCCCCTGCCCTCTTGTGTCTCCTCCTCTTCCTCCTCCTCCTCCTCCTCAGACAGTCCAAACTTCTGCAGTAGTTCCTTATCCCTGGAACAATCCTGGTTGTCTTCGGCTTCTGTAGACTCCGACCTGTGCTCGCTCGTAGACATATAAAGTTGCTTGAAAAAAAAAACAACAACAAAAAACAGTAAAGAAGATATTTTCACCAGATAAAAAACCTAAAGCGTATAATACATGTTATAGGCCAACGACTGCCGGCAATACGTAGGTATATAGAGTAGATGGAACCTAGTCCAAGACCTGCCTCTGCCTGTAAGTGGATAACAGAGGAGCAGCAAGAGACTGATGAGGTCATCACTCTGTCAATACATGTGCAATGCAGATGAGTCTGATTGGCTTCTAGTGCTGCCCCTCCCTCTCTCAGCATGAAGGCGGCTTTACCGATGATTACAGCAGGCTGATTCAAGACAGAATCAGTTACTTTAGTCAGCGAATATTATTTTTGTCCCGAATTAACTTTCAGCACCAATCAGCTAAATGTATTCCATGGGCATCAAAACAAATGGTGTAGAAAAGGCGGTCTCCTGCCAGCAGGCTACAAAGAAGAGTCCTTGCTCTCCGTGTGGAAGCAGCGGTCTCTCTGCCTCCTTGCTAAGTCACAGCTAGAGCTCTCCAATAGGAGGAGGCATAAGCTTTGCTTAATGGAGAGCTCTAGCTATGACTCAGCAAGGAGGCAGAGAGACCGCTGCTTCCACACGGAGAGCAAGGTTGCTTCTCTGCAGGGTGCTGGCAGGGGACAGGCTTTTCTACTCAGGCTGTGGCTGCTTTCTAAAGAAAAATATCAGTTCCAGCACTTTTCTGACACCAAGCCGGGCAGCTGAGGACAGGAATCTGGGTTACTACATGAAAGCAGCAGTCCCTCTGCAGAGGTCCAACTTGCCTTCTGCTGAGTTTGACCTACAGTATATCCCTGTAATCAGCAAAGCTCTACAAAATATAAGTTGCAGCAAGTCATTTTCTGACACTAAATATCAAAAAAAGGGGGAAAGAGAAAGAAAGGGGCTTTGTGGTGACCACTGGAGAATAGCAGGGAATTGATCCAGTAATAAAGTCAATTGATTCATATATATAAATCTGACACTAAGCCAGGCAACCTGAAAGCAATGGTCCTTCTGCAGAGGTCCAACATGCCTGCTGCGGAGTCCGGCCTAGCAAAGCTCATGCTCCTGTCTGACTGGGGAGCTCTAGCTGTGACTTAACAAGGGGATAGGTTAGACGGTGACCTCTGCAGAGACCACTGCTTCCGCACAGGGAGCAAAGGTACTTCTCTGCAGCATGCTGACAGGGGACAGGCTGAGGCTGCTTTCCAAAGAAAATGAACTGTAAAGCTGCCCATACACCTTGCGATCATCGTACGATCGACCGAAGTTCTCTAATCTGCTGTTTAGTCAAAAGTCGATCGCTTGCACAGTATCTGCGGCTGTACGCTGCCCATCAACCGTACGAATATCGGCCGATAACGCGATCGCATACGAAAATCGGCCGATAATCGTAAGGTGTATGGGCACCTTAAGACTTGGCACACCTTTTGCTTAGATTCACCCGGAAGGCACTTAGCCGATTTACACTGAAAGCTTAAGTTTGGGCTTTGAATGTTAATAACGTCTTCTCGTCTCTGCCTGGAATTCGGCCCCAGCACGGTCTGCGCGCCGTCGTACGCGGTGTATTTCACAGGCTGAAACGGGGCAACAAAGGTTTCCTCATTTCCCGGAACGCGTTTTACCTTGAGGTCATGGAACTGGCCCTGTGCGGTGAGCAGGTACTGATAGATTATCCTGCACGGGAGTCTGTAACTTCTGTCCGGAATATGGATGACACTCAGCATTGAGACCTAGGAGAACACAAGAGACAGGACGTCACATGGAGAAGGCTGGACACATAGTACGTGGCGGCGTGTTTAAAGGAGGATTCCGGGCCATTCACAGGGACTCATTTATCAAAGAGTGAAAGGAGAAACAATGTCTCCACTTGTCTATGATATGTAATATCCCCTTCGCACACCAGAATCCGACGGGTGCTGGAACTACTGGTGGATGGCGCCACAATATACAATCTAGAAGATATGTTGCCCGCACGCTAGGAATGCACTGATACCGGTTTTTCCGTATCAAGTAAAGATATTTTTTACCCGGTACTCGCCGATACCGAATACCGATACCGGAAGTCCCATTACGGAAGCCAGGCGGCGTGTAATAACTCGCCACCCGGCTTCCTGATTAGCAAGGAAGCTGTCTCCATGCTTCTCATCACTAGATGACGAGCAAGCATGGAGCCGGCTTTCTGGCCAATCAGAGAGCCGGGTGCTGCATCCATCATTACACGGCGCCCGGCTTCCTGATTGGCCAGCTTCCCGACCAATCAGGAAACCGGGCAGCGAGTCATAACACGCTGAGCTGCTTCCTGATTGTCCTCATCACAATTGAAGAGGGAGCATGGAGCCGGCTTCCCGGCCAATCAGGAAGCAGGGCAGCATGTAATGACTCCCGCCCCGGCTTCCTGATACCGGCAGCTCAGGTATCGGGCTAGGCATTGGAGCATTTGGGCCAGTATGAGTACTCGACCAAATACTCGGCATCGGCACCGATACTGGTCGCTGAGACCAATCAGGAAACCGGGCAGCGAGTCATAACACGCTGAGCTGCTTCCTGATTGTCCGGGAAGCTGGCTCCATGCTCCCTCATCACAAGTGAAGAGGGAGCATGGAGCCGGCTTCCCGGCCAATCAGGAAGCAGGGCAGCATGTAATGACTCCCGCCCCGGCTTCCTGATACCGGCAGCTCAGGTATCGGGCTAGGCATTGGAGCATTTGGGCCAGTATGAGTACTCGACCAAATACTCGGCATCGGCACCGATACTGGTCGCTGACAACTCTTCTGCTCTACCTCTCAGCTGAGCGGCTGGGACGCTCAAATGTTAACAGTGCCTGTCATGTGATCATCAGGTTTTTGGTCACATGATCTCTGTTCAAGAGGGAGATTTTTCTGGTTCAACCTATTCTTCTGCATGTGACTAACTGCCCGGGCTGCTGACCACATGATAGGCACTGAAGGGGGATTAAAGCAGCTTTTTCTCCAGGAAAGGTAAGTACTTCATCCTTTCTGTTACTCTTCACCGATCTCGGGAAGAATTCTAAAGCAGCTTTATGTTAACATTTGAATTGAGATCCACTAAGAGGTTAATAATAATAATAATATTGTTAGTGGGGGGGGGAGAAGGCTTCAGTGAATTCCTGATATCAGATCCTCAGAAGATCAGCGTGGAATTTGGCATTCTGCAGACACAACTCTTTTCTTCAGATCAGCGACAGGAAGTTAGGTAGCTGCTCAGTAAATATCACATGGAGGTCATTTACCGTCTCCCGTGTTTTGCTGACCAGTAGAATCCACGTTTTCCAGTTACAGAGGAGTCACCGAGCGCCTGGATCCCTCTGCCAGTAAGCTGCGGCTTCTACAAACAGCACAACTCCTATCTGTCCTGTGACAGCAAATTTCCTGCATGTCTGATACAGCGATGAGTAAGATGAGGAATGTCTGGCCCAGTGCTGGCAAAGCTACTGAACTAAGACCGTGTTATTATTCTGGTCGTCTCTACAAACCAGAAATATTACCCAAAAAGCAGCATTTCCACTCACACCTATCCAATCACTAGAGACCGGTGACATCACTGACAATGCAGCCTATCCATTCACTAGAGACCGGTGACATCACTGAGAGTGCAGCCTATCCATTCACTAGAGAGCGGTGACATCACTGAGAATGCAGCCTATCCATTCACTAGAGACCGGTGACCTCACTGAGAGTGCAGCCTATCCGTTCACTAGAGACCAGTGACATCACTGAGAGTGCAGCCTATCCCTTCATCATGGACCGGTGACACACAATTCCTCCTTTTTGTCGGGGTGACTGGATTCTAGGAAATGGCGCACTCCATGCAGTCTCTGGTTCCCTTTGCATTGTTTCGGCTGCGTTGTATTTATATATTTTTGGCCTCGCTCGGTCTCCCTCCTCTGAAAATGTGACAGGTGGACTCTAAAAACAAAGCTGTCAGCATGCGTAGGAAAGGCAGGGACTTTCTAAAAGTGGTTTTGAAAGCCTGTAAACAAATATGGAAGAGTCAGGGGCTTCCCTTTATATCTTCAAGCCGAAATATGAGCCCCGAGAATCAAACCGCACTCCATAGATCTCTATCCAGATAAAACAAGGACAAGAAAACAAAAGGCATGTGTAATCAGAACAATCGCCCCGTCCTTCTCCCATGCTGCAATGGAAGCAGGACAGGGAGGATGTGATTGGTTGCTAGAGGACACGGCTTTTATCCCCAATTCAGAGATAATACAAGTCTACTTTTATATACAGTAATATCATTGGACAGGACTAATTGTTCAAAGAAGGTGTCCCCCTAGCAGGTACGGCTTCTTTTTTAGGTTGCTGTAAGCGGCATTATGTGTGGCTGGTCCTCCACAGCAGGGAAGAAGTGGGGCCACCATGATACAGCGCAGCAAAGAATTGACAAAAGGGTTTAAACGGGGGCGGGCAACTCTGGCCCTCCAGCTGCTGAGGAACTACAAGTCCCATGAGGCATTGCAACACTGACAGATACAGGCATGACTCTCAGAGGCATGTTGGGATTTGTAGTTAAAGCACAACTGGAGGGTCGGAGTTGCCCACCCGTGGGTTAAAAAGTATATTGACATTTTGGATAGCATAGGCAAGGCTTAAAACCCTTGCACGGTCTTGGCCTTCTCAGTCCCATTGGGGAGATTCTCCTTCACTTCCTGCCATGTAGACAGGAAATCTCTGCAAAGTGACGGAAGTCCCCTCTTAGACAGATGTCCCCATGAGAAGATTTTACCCCCTATTCCTGTGCTGATGACAACGCAAAATATTGGATTTCTTATAATTTCTTCCCCGGGGACAGTGGTCACCAGAGGGTGAATCTCCCAATGTGCCACAGGCAGAGGTCTGTATCCAGGGAGAGAGGCCGCCCAGGACATACAGAAGCATACCTGAGGCTGCATGGAGAGGAAGGTGTCATGGAGGCGCTCAGGGGGCACTGGATTCAGAAGATGACACAAATCATGCACTGGATTTACAGGGGTCATGGGGTGACACAGGCTGCTCTGGGTACACTGGAGTCACAGGGTTCATGGGGTGACACGGGATGCCCTGGAGTCACAGGGGTCATCAGGTGACACAGGATGCTCTGTGTGCACTGGATTTACAAGGGCCATTGGGTGACAGAGGATGTCCTGGGTGCATTGGAGTCACAGGGGTCATGGGGGTGACACAGGATTTTCTGATTGCACTGCAGACACAGGGGTCATGGGGTGACACAGGATTTTCTGATTGCACTGCAGACACAGGGGTCATGGGGTGACACAGGATTTTCTGATTGCACTGGAGACACGGGGGTCATGGGGTGACACAGGATGCACAGGGTACAATGGAGTCATGGGGTAACACAGGATGCTCTGGATACAATGGAGACACAGGGGTCATGGGGTGACACAGGCTGCTCTGGGTGCGCTGGAGTCACAGGATTCTCTGGGTACAATGGAGTCACAGGGGTCATGGGGTGACACAGGATTCTCTGGGTTCAATGAATGCACGGAACTCGAGTCACATGATAGACACAGGGGGTCTCTGGAGATCAGCAGGGGACACAAGACTGCCCTGGAGACACTGCAGCCCATAGGGGTCACAGAGTAACTGAATGCACAAGAGCGCTGGGGTCACAGGAGACACTGCTGCAGTGAGATTAGGCTTAGGTGTAACAACATGTTATTTAAATGCTGAGTCAGTCTAATCCTTCCCCACGCTCTCCAAAACAACAAATCAAAATGGCTACAGATACCTCAACAATGGCAGCAATGTGATTGGTTCATGGTTTTTTAGCGGGAGACACAGAGAAAATGAAGGCTGCTATACTCAGACGTACAATGGGGTATAACTCCCGGTCATCCGCATGAGACAACGTCAGCAGGGCTATAAGTGGATAACGAGTGCGGGGAACCGGGCCAAAATCCTCCATCTCGTTGTCCTCCGGCAGCCGGAGCAGAATGTCTTCTTTGCTTTCTTTCCGGACGCTAAATAGACATGTTGAGGAAAAGGCGGAGCCTGTGATAGAAGTAGGACAGACAGAGCGGAGCGGGGCCCAACGTACTGCATACTGCTGACACAGAAAACACATCCCGAGGACTCTATGGGGGGAATTGATTAAAACTGGAGCAGACAAAATCTGGAGCAGTTGCCCATGGCGACCAATCAGCATCCACCTTACATTTTCAAACCCTAACTGAACAAACTGATGAGAGAAGCTGATTGGTTGCCATGGACAACTGCTCCAGATTCTTCTGCTCCAGTTTTGATACATTCCCCCCCATCTGTGTATCTAAGATTTGTTAGAAATATTGAAAATAACAGAAACGGGAAATGAAATGACATTTCGTGCATCGTAAAGCACCGACAATGTTTTTTTTAAACATAAATTACAATTTTTGCCTTTTTTTCATCCTTTGTCGCACCTCAGAGCTGCTCGTCGCCTATTTGCAGCCACTTCCTATCTACAAGGAACTCAGGCCATGGCAGCATGGCGTTTCCCAGGGAGGGTCAGGACAAGTGATGAGCCTGGGCTTGGTGCGAACCCGATTCACCCGAGCCCGATCAAAACTCTGACTGCCTTCATTACAGTAATTGGGGGCGGTCCTTATATAATTAGAGGTGGGGTCTGACAAGTGGTTGGTGTCTGGGCGGGACTGTTCAGTCAGTGCGTATCTCCTGTATCATATCTATATTCCTTGACTATCCAGTGTTAAATGTCTGCAGTCTCTGACCATCTCCTGCACCATGTCTGCAGTCTCCGACCATCTCCTGTATCATGTCTGCAGTCTCCATCCATCTCCTGTATCACGTCTGCCGTCTCCGACCATCTCCTGTATCATGTCTGCAGTCTCCGACCATCTCCTGCATCATGTCTGCAGTCTCTGACCATCTCCTGCATCATGTCTGCAGTCTCTGACCATCTTCTGCGTCATGTCTGCACTCTCCGACCATCTTCTGTATCATGCCTGCAGTCTCTGACCCTCTCCTATACCATGTCTGTAGTCTCTGACCATCTCCTGCATAATGTCTGCAGTCTGTGACCATCTCCTGCGTCATGTCTGCAGTCTCCGACCATCTCCTGTATCATGTCTGCAGTCTCCGACCATCTCCTGTATCACGTCTGCCGTCTCCGACCATCTCCTGTATCATGTCTGCAGTCTCCGACCATCTCCTGTATCACGTCTGCAGTCTCCGACCATCTCCTGCATCATGTCTGCAGTCTCGGACCATCTCCTGCATCATGTCTGCAGTCTCTGACCCTCTCCTGCATTATGTCTGCAGCTTTCTATAGCATTACATTTAGCAAATATTATGTCTGCCCTTTTGATGATGTCAGGGGCTCACTACATTGACAGCCACTGCACTTTGTACTCTGCACAATGTCTCTGCGCTATAAAGATTCTATCCTATAGAGGAGAGAACATCGGAATCCTGGCTGTATGTCGCCCCCTGGTGGTCAGATGACGGATTTCATGGCACATTGAAGATGTTTTACTACTATGTGTATAAATGGTTTCATCGTTTAGTCGGCTTCTTATTTTTGGATGTGTTGTGTGGAAGAAGTGTCCCTCAGGGGCCCTGTTATAAAGTAGCGGGCGGGACCTTCCCGCTCCATTCTGCTGCTTTGAAATATAAAAAAAGGAAAAAGCACATTTATGGAGGACAGGGGAGCGCTTTACAGACGTGAAACAAAAGAAATCCATGTAATGGGCAGCTACGGTCATGTGACCAGCCTCTTCTCCAATCATGGAGTGTTCTCTTCAACATTATGGGTTAAGGGTTCCATAGCAGGAACTCTGGATCATGTCTGCAGTCTCTGACCATCTCCTGTATCATGTCTGCAGTCTCTGACCCTCGCCTGCATCATGTCTGCAGTCTCTGACCATCTCCTGTATCATGTCTGCAGTCTCTGACCATCTCCTGTATCATGTCTGCAGTCTCTGACCATCTCCTGCATCATGTCTGCAGTCTCTGACCATCTCCTGCATCATGTCTGCAGTCTCTGACCATCTCCTGTATCATGTCTGCCGTCTCTGACCATCTCCTGTATCATGTCTGCGGGCTCTGGCTATCTCCTGCACCATGTCTGCAGTCTCTGACCATCTCCTGCACCATGTCTGCAGTCTCTGACCATCTACTGTATCATGTCTGTAGTCTCTGGCCATCTCCTGTATCATGTCTGCAGTCTCTGACCCTCTCCTGAATCATGTCTGCAGTCTATGACCATCTCCTCTATCATGTCTGCAGTCTCTGACCATCTACTGTATCATGTCTACGGTCTCTGGCCATCTCCTGTACCATGTCTACGGTCTCTGGCCATCTCCTGTACCATGTCTACGGTCTCTGGCCATCTCCTGCACCATGTCTGCGGTCTCTGACCATCTCCTGCACCATGTCTGCGGTCTCCGACCATCTCCATAGAGAAGTAAAATGTGACACAGGTTCTAACCCCTCAACACTCTATCCAAAACTAAAGAGAGGCTTTGGCTGTAGTTGCACATAATGTATCTAACAATGGTAATGTGGGGCTGGGTAATTTGTGCATAAAGCAGAATATCCCTTTAAATGACAATATAGCACTTTTGTCGGTCAGAGTCATTTGACAAGTCTATAGAGAAGTTGGCCGAGTCCCCGGGCACAGAGAAAGGATACACATGCTGCTCCCTGTATAGGTATTCGCTGTACAAGGCCTCCTCCAGGGCCCCGGGGGTCGTTATCCGGAAGCAGTAGACATGTTTCTGAAGGGCCTCCTGCACTTTCTGCACGTTGCAGCCCCAGTAACAGGTCAGGGTGCTCTCCTCCAGGCAATGTGGTCGTAACGTCACTCCCGCTGCGGACAAAACAAGCACAACTTTATTAGTAAATCACACGCAGCACCTGTCGTTCCCGGGAGCGGCCCGACACGGCCATGCGCGCCGCGCGGATCTGTACGGCCCGACTCTACACTTAAGGCCGTGACACACTGCACACTGCGCGTGCGCTGCCTTTGCGAGCAGTGTGCCATGTCATTTTCTGCTCGGCACCTCAGCTTGCGAGAGCTCGCGGAGCTGAGCGTGCCGAGATGAACAATTTCCACTTAAGCCAATCGGCTCGCGCGTATAAACCAGCGCGTCGCGATGCAACAGCTGGCAGGTTGTTACGGACGAGCCGATTGGCTGAAGGTGCTGTCAATCATCTGACTGCACTCAGCTCACACACTGCACGCAAAGCTCCGTGCCGGAGAGCTTTGCTTCGCTCTGCACGGCTTTGCGTGCAGTGTGTCACGGCCTTTACACTCTACGATGTATTATTGATGCCGGAGCTGCGTTCATTGGTGTCTTTTATATCTTCAGCTTCCATCACTCACTTGCTATTGTGGCGCCGTCGGGGTTTGCAATCTCCAGTCCGAAGGGATTCTTTACCTGCACCATCTGCCTCCTGGAAAGGAAGGTGTTGGAGGCGGAGTCATCGGAATTCCTCAGTATGACGGGAACGTCCACACCGAACCTGGGAGGAGCGACAAATGAAAAGAACACTCAGGTTGCTACCCAAAACCTGCTTCTATTAAAAGGGGATTTGTGGCCTTTATAATGTTTCTTGTTATATAGAGCAACGTGATCAGACACGGAGGGCCTAGCTATAAACCATTCACAGAGCCGCCCATCCTGTGAAACGTCGGGTATGTTCGTTCTGTGCGAGCGGAGACAAAACTGAACGTTCGCTGTCTATTTTCTTATCATGTCGGATGTAATAACAGGACAATACCACAACATGGCCGCTAGATGGAGCTGAGGAGCATCGGAAATAAGCATTTAAAGGAGAACTATGAGGCGAGTGCTTTTCACTCAGCTCATAGTTCTAGCCGACGTGTGACAATGAGACTGTCACAGGTCGGCTCAGTAGATCGGGAGGTGAGCGAACACATACCGGCGTTCGCTCACTTCTCGATCATCTCCATGCAGAGAGCCGTGACTGAGAGTCACGGCTCTCCCCCGCTCTGAACCTCCAGCGCTGTTTGGAGGAACGGACAAGGGAAAGGGCGGGTACAGCTGGCTCTGCCTATCTAGAGGCAGAGCCAGCTGTACCCGCCCTTTCCCTTGTCCGTTCCTCCAAACAGCGCTGGAGGTTCAGAGCGGGGGAGAGCCGTGACTCTCAGTCACGGCTCTCTGCATGGAGATGATCGAGAAGTGAGCGAACGCCGGTATGTGTTCCCTCACTTCCCGATCTACTAAGCCGACCTGTGACAGTTTCATTGTCACACGTCGGCTTGAACTATGAGGATGAGTGAAAAGCACTCGCCTCATAGTTCTCCTTTAAGGATAGATAGGCATTATGGCTACTTCCTGTTTTTGGAGGAGTGTGGAGGAAGGGAATTGGGGTAAGGCATGATAGGGATCTGCACCTTAACCTTTATTGCTCATTTGTATTGTCGGTAGTGGTGAAAGGTTCACTCGTCTAATTGCTGGTTTGCGTTGGGCAGAGTGCAAAGCTCAATCATGGATGTAAAGCGTACGTCAGGACAAAATATAAAAATAAAAACATGTTCAGTACATCTCTGCATAGTGAGCTTCAGCTCGCGGTATGCAGAGACCGACGCAGCCGGGACAGATCCCGACATTACTGTTGAGATCCACCCAGCTGCGTGAGTGACAGCTGGCTCTGCCTATCTAGAGACAGAGCCAGCTGTACCCGCCCCCTCCCCCGTCCGTTCCTCCAGTCAGCGTTGGAGGATCGGAGCGGGGAATCTCTGCGGGGGGCTATGACTGACAGTCACGGCTCTCTGCAGGGAGATGATCGAGAAGTGAGCGAGCGCCGATTTGTGTTCCCTCACTTCTCGATCTACTGAGCCGACCTAACACAGCAAGGCAAACCATTAGCCTCCTCCCCCCTCCAGGGTTGTACATGAACAGTTGTTGGGTTGTAGCCGGAACAGGAATAGAGGGGGAAGTCGAGGGGACACTAGTTCTGGTGACCCTGCTGACCACCAGGGAATATCCGCTCACTTCCTGTTGTGGCTATAGGGCAGGAAGTGAAGGGAAATCTCCCCAATGGGACAAAGATGGGAAAACAATATAAAGTGGACAGGGGATATAACCCTCCCGTACTCTATGTGGCAATTTTGCTTTAAGGAATATATTTTAATGAAGGTTTTTGTGTTTTAGGGGAGGTCATGTGATTGGTCCTTTGCATGCTTCAGGACTCAAACAATCAAAGCTTCTTTTAGCCAGTTGTCATGGGAACAGGTGTCCCCATTGAGAAGACCAGAGGGAGAATCTGCCCATTGGGGGACATGTAAAGCAATCAAAATCTGTCAAAGGTTCTATAGCCAAACTTTTAAAGGGCCAGTTCATATTGAGTTGCCTGTTTAGAGTCAAATAAGGCTCAGCAGAGTTCTTCTTTAAGCTGACCTGTCAGACATGCAGCAGATGGCAGCTGTGCACACACACTCACAAGGACTACTTACCACCCCAGCACCAACCCACAGGTCACCACGAAGCAGACAAACACCACAGCGATGTAGAAGGGGGGCGAATATTCGTACAAGGTGGTCAGGAATATGGCTGGCATAGCAACACCGCTCTGAGCCCCTAACAGCAAGCTAAATGCGCACCCTGCTAGATATCTTTTGGTCCGCAGCGGCCCCCGTAACACCCGGCTGTCACCCCCAGGGCAGCGTTGATTGGTTATCTCAGCTTAAATGCGCCACATCACATGACTGTATGTCACTGAGCTCCCGTCCGCCATTTTTGTTTCGGGAAAGAAAGCCTGGAATAACAGAAATGAATGAAAATAAATCCCTAAATAACCCAGGGAGTAGGTTTACACGAACGGCATCTTTATAGCCTTGAGTTAATCGTTTTTGTTATACTTAATAAAAAGTAAACTACGTCACGGGGCTTGTTATTACTCGTTATTTTTCAGCCGCTTCCTACGCAAAACTGTATGAGCAGACGTTTCAAAAGCGGGTTCAGGAGGCGCCCATTTCAAAGATGGCGTTAGCGACGTTAAAATAAAGGCAAGCCACGCCTTTTTACAATGCAGAGAACTACTGTATTAGTTTGTTAATTACCAGCTGCCCATGTAGCAGCCGACCGAATTCAAAAGAACCGGACCTAAGACTTTAGGATTGATTTGGGCTCACAAAAAAATCAAATTCTGCCCTTTTTAAAAATGGCTGACGGCTTGAGGTGAGAAGTTGCAGCTCCGCCCACCGCTGCGGGCTCTGCTTTCTGATTGGGCTGGTGGGGAGTCACGTGACGTGCCGCTCTCTCTCTTTCCCCCACCGGGTGTTGGCTGAGAAGTCAGGTACGGGCAGAGCCAGTGGATTGCCAACAGAGCGGACATGGTGAGTGGGCAGTGCTGGCAGGCTTGCCAGAGAAAGGTGGCACATGTCATACCCTGCAGTGCCGCCTCCTCCCCCAGCTCCCTGCAAAGCCTGGGGGCAGCAAACTTGCCTGACATCATTCCTGCCTCCATCAGGGAAAGTTATGCTCCATCTAAAGGAGTGTAGTGCCACCTCTTGGCCTGCAGGAGGCAGTATAGTCGTTGTTGTCTATTGGTGATTGTGTCCCTATTCCCACCTGTGTCCTCATGAACATTTGTAGTGGAAAGCTCTGATGCCGCTCCCATATGAATTCCATGGGTGGGAAATGTCAACATTACCGCGTGTGTCTGCTTATATTTTGCCTTCACCCCTCATCAACACGCTGTAAAACCTTTCCATTTTCATTACATACCATATTTTACACCCAGTGATGTCATCACTGGGTCTCTGTGCTTCCCTATACAATGCAGGCAGCTCATTGCTGGTGGGAGGGGCTTGCAGGGTGCTGTACATAACTTCTTGAAAACATCACAGCACCGTGCCTCAGTTCTCCTCACTGCTAAGGCTACAGAAGCCTATTTAGGACATCCTGCAGGAGATGGTCGTTGACTGCGGACATCCTGCAGGAGATGGTCGTAGACTGCGGACATCCTGCAGGAGATGGTCGTAGACTGCGGACATCCTGCAGGAGATGGTCGTAGACTGCGGACATCCTGCAGGAGGTGGTCGTAGACTGCGGACATGCTGCCGGAGATGGCTGGAGATATGCATAGAAAGCTCCCCAGATTACCCGAGCAGCAAAGCATTTATTAAAATGAACATGACCCGCCGGGCTCTGGAACACTTGATGATGTTCCCTCATTTGCTAACATTGCTCACGCGGGCCAGGGTATCCCCCGGGGTCACGCGGGCCAGGGTATCCCCCGGGGTCACGCGGGCCAGGGTATCCCCCGGGGTCACGCGGGCCAGGGTATCCCCCCGGGCCAGGGTAGCGCCCGTGTCACGCTGGCCAGGGTAGCCCACGGGCCAGGGTAGCCCACAGGTTACGTGAGTACTAGGCGTGTGCGAGGCTTTATGTTTGCATGTTGATATAATAACATCCAATGGAAACGCCAACTAATTAGGATGTGTGGCTTTGTTTAGATACTGGTTACATCGCAGTGCTAATGGCTTATTATGTTTATTTTGTGGTTTGGATCCCAATCATCTGTAAATATTCAGCTTGTTCTCCAGAAAATCCTTCTCTATGCTTCCTTCCAAAGCTATGGCCTAATGAGGATAGGAAGCAGAGTTTAGGGCTGAGCCCCCTCCTGGTCCTCCCCGCGCCTCAGTAGCCATTAGGGGCACAGTCATCGGTCAGGGTAATGGTACATGTTGGCGCTTAGGAAGTCAAAGAAGCCGGGTCCCTAGTTACAGAATAAACTCATTTCAGGGAGGCACACAGAGTATGACTGTTGGGTCTGCTCGTAGGCATAAAACACAGGGAGGACGGAGTTCTGTGTTTAAAATTCAGCCATTTGCATCTGTGTTGCATGCCCACCAATCCACATTTTTTCTTTCTTGGTTTATGATTGGTTGTCATGGGACCACAAAGTCCATTGATCTTAATTGCACTTGTTAAATTTGGGCTTGGTGGCCTCTTAGGCCAAGTCAGTTGCCCACTGCACAGTTCATAACCAACAATGCAGCAACCCCTTTCCAAACCCCCTATGCCCCAGAATGGCTACAATGGCACCTTGGAGGTTGGATCCATGCTATAAGTGAGTCTAGGGCTGCAGCAACTAATCGATTTAATGATCGATTATGAGAATAGTTGGCAATTATTTTTGGGAGATTGAGGGAGAGAGAATGAGAGGGAGATTGAGGGAGAGAGAGAGATTGAGAGAGGGGGAGGGAGAGATTGAGAGAGGGGAGGGGAGGGAGAGATTGAGAGGGGGAGGGAGAGATTGAGAGAGAGAGAGGGGGAGGGAGAGATGGAGGAAGAGATTGAGAGAGGGAGGGAGATATTCAGAGGGAGAGTGAGATAGGGAGGGAGAGATTGAGAGAGAGATGGGAGGAGAGATTGAGAGAGGGAGGGAGATATTCAGAGGGAGGGAGAGATTGAGAGAGAGAGAGAGATGGAGGGAGAAAGAGAGAGATTTTTGAATGCAACCAATCGATTAGTTGAAAAAAATAATCTGGCAACTAATCGATTATGAAAATGATCATTAGCTGCGGCCCTAAGTGAGTCAATTAACAATGCCAAAGAAACACAGTTGGCTTGCCTTGTAGCATCTTCCATGGAGCTCACATGGGTTGGTCTTTGGCAGAAGAGTCTTTGACAACCAGCCCACCATCAACAAAACCCTATTGTTGCTTCCACCCTAAGGTGAGATGCTTTGTCTTGGGATCAATCAACCCTTTTTTACCAGAACTCATTGAACCCTAAATTCCTAATGTAAATTTAGCAGCGCTGGTTAACTTGACTTTAACTGTGTGACTAATTTGTACCTTTTGATAAAGAGGTCTGTCTGAGAACTAGGAACACGCCCAGATGGGCAATACTGGTTCTCTGCTGCAACATTAGATAACTTTCTCACAGGGCATACATTGGCCACAGAGGCTTCAATGCGAGCAGGGCCGGGCCCCGAGGTGGCCAACTTTTAGGAGGAGGAGGTGAGCAAAAAGGGAAGGACTTAAAGGAGAACTATGGGGTTAAGGCTTTTCCCCATAGTTCTCCTTAGGGTAACGGGAGGACACAAACTAGCGTTCTCCCGTCACCCTAGGCTCAGTATACTGAGACGCCGCAGCTGAAGCGGATCCCGACAATTGTGCCGGGATCCGCCCAGCTGCGTGACTGACAGCTGGATCTACCTATCTAGAGGCAGAGCTAGCTGTACCCGCCCCCTCCCCGTCCGTTCCGCCAGTCAGCGCTGGCGGATCGGAGCGGGGAGGGGGGATTCCAGCCCCTCCCCTGTCACGGCAGAGAGCCACCTGAACATCAGGGAGACTTGAGATCCCTGGTCTTCGCTCACCTCCCGATCTACTGAGCCGACCTGTGACAGTCTCATTGTCACAGGTCGGCTGGAACTATGAGGTGAGTGAAAAGCATTCCCCTCATAGTTCTCCTTTTTAAAACCTATGCTCCTGAAGTAAGTTCACAGATTATGGGAACGGGGGGGGGTTTCAAATTATTAGCCTTGAGTGCAAAAGAACCTTATCCCGCAACTGATGCCAAGAACTAGGGATGTCCCGATACCACTTTCTTTAAGACCAAGTACAAGTACTTGCCCTCAGGTACTCACCGATACAAATTACCAATACTTTTTCTTAAAGGGACATTTGAAATTTTTTCTAAAGCAACACAGACTGATGATTGTAGGGCAGTTTCTCACCAGAGCAGAATACAGATGCCCTCAGAGCACTATACATATCCCCAAAGCAGAATACAGATGTCCTCAGGGCCGGCCTTAGGTCTTTAGGCGCCCTGTATGAGAAAGCTTTACAGCGCCCCTCAGTGACCACACCCCTCAGTGGCCACACCCCCGTAACCACACCCATTTACCTCAATATCCGCACCGATTAAAGACTCCTATTTTGTTAAGCCGCAAAGAAACATATTAAAAAGTATGATAAAAATAAAACTTTTATTCAAAGGTATTATAGGCACAATATAAGTATTCTTATCAAATAAAACAACAGACGGCAAACAATAAATGTCAGACTAAAATAGAGTCTATAAAAAAGCGTGCGGTATATGGCGTCATGAGCCCCGCCTCCGGAACACGCCAATGGCTGTATCCAAAATAGCATAAAAAAAGTGTTTTGTTTGATGAAAACTTTTGTAGTTTTCGTTCATTTCATCTGAAATCAATGTTTAGTCTTCGCACATGTCTAATAATACGTGTGTGTGTGTG